GTGTGTGTGTGTGTGTGTGTGTGTGTGTGTGTGTGTGTGTGTGTGTGTATTTTCCCCCCACAGGTTGATGGCTTGTTTCCTTACTTCCGATTCCTGTAAGGACATTGCTGATGTTCTCATCTGCAATGAAAAACTGAAGATCCTGAAACTTGGGCATAATGAAATAGGAGATGCTGGTGTCAAACAGTTATGTGAAGCTTTGAAGCATCCTAACTGTAAATTAGAGTGTCTTGGGTGAGTATCTACTGACCATCATCGTAGGAAAATTTACCTATTTCTAGAATAGGAAAAGCTGGAGGGCTGACAGAATGGAAGAGGGCAGGTTTAAAAGCGAGTCTGTCTGGGATGATCTGTTGCATGAAATGCTGTCCCAGGGTTTGCTCAGTCTTGATACTCTTGCTGTTTGGGACTGGAGAGTTACTTGCCTTGGGGGCCGCCCTATGCATCACAGGATGTGAGCTGTGGCCCTGGCCACTATTCTCAAGTTGCCAGCAGCACTCTTCAGTTGGGATAAATGTCACTAGACACACATCCCCCAGGAGCACAATCGCCCTGGCTGAGAACCGCTCTTTTAGACTGTAAAGTCCCCTGCCTGGAGGTATGTCACCGACAGGTAACAATGGTGTGCCTGGCTGGGTGCAGTGGCTTAGGCCTGTAATCCCAGCACTTTGAGAGGCCGAGGCAGGCAGATTACCTGAGGTCAGGAGTTTGAGATCAGCCTGGCCAACATGGTGAAACCCTATCTCTACTAAAAATAAAAAAAATTAGCCAGGTGTGGTGGTACATGCCTGTAATCCCAGCTACTTGGGAGGCTGAGGCAGGAGAATCACTTGAACCCTGGAGTGGAGGTTGCGGTGAGCCGAGATCACCCCATTGCACTCCGGCCTGGTGAAGCTGTCTTAAAAGAGCAACAACAGCAGCAAGCAGTGGCTGCCTTCCAGCCTGCCCAAAGCCAAGGTGGTTTCTCCGGTTTCCCTTTTGCAGGCTGCAAACATGTCGGATCACCCATGCCTGCTGTGAAGACCTAGCCGAGGCACTGGTAGCCAGCAAAACACTGAGGAGCCTGAACCTTGACTGGATTACCTTGGACCCTGAGGGCGTGGTGTTGCTGTGTGGGGCTTTGAGCCACCCGGACTGCGTCCTGCAGATGCTGGGGTGAGTGGACGCTGTTTCCCTTGGTGGTGAGTGACTTCAGAATGAGCTAAGTTCATTGGCTGTTTGCCCAACCACGACATGATGGACACCAGGCTGGAGGATTCTTTGTTGTGGGGCCTGCCCTGGGCCCCCCTGCACATTGTAAGATGTCAAGCAGCGTTCTTGGCCTTTCTCATGAGGTGCCAGTAGCACCTCCCTGAGTGATGACAACCAAAAAGAGCTCCAGAAATTGTCGAAAGCCCCCTGGAGACACAGTTGCCCCAGGTGAGAACCACTGCTCTCCTGAAACGTCATCTCCTTACGTTGCCGTAAATATGCAACCCCAGCTCAGACTAGGGAGGGCTTCTGGAAAGGGCTGAGCAGGGTCTCGATCCAGAAAGATATTCGTTAAATGGCAGCAGTTAACGTCGTTTGGAAAATTAGGTCTGCATTTAGAGTGGACTTGCTTTAAATCTGTGGGATGAATTTTTTAAGTTATTTTTCCTTCTGATTTTGTTTTTTTCTTTTTTTTTTTTTTTTTTTTTTTTTTGAGACGGAGTTTCGCTCTTGTTACCCAGGCTGGAGTGCAATGGCGCGATCTCGGCTCACCGCAACCTCCGCCTCCTGGGTTCAGGCGATTCTCCTGCCTCAGCCTCCTGAGTAGCTGGGACTACAGGCGTGCGCCACCATGCCCAGCTAATTTTTGTATTTTTAGTACAGACGGGGTTTCACCATGTTGACCAGGATGGTCTCGATCTCTTGACCTCGTGATCCACCTGCCTCGGCCTCCCAAAGTGCTGGGATTACAGGCTTGAGCCACCGCGCCCGGCTGTTTTTTTCATTTTTAAAAGTTTTTTTTATTAAAAATGGGTGGGTATATGGAAGAGGCTGAACATTGATAATTGTTGAAGTTTGTGATGGGTACATGAATTCATTATATTAATGTCTCTGAAAAAAAGCTCACAATATGTTTGTTTTTATATAAATTTTTAAATAAGCAATGAATGTGCCTGGGGCATATGAACATAAAATGAATACAAATTGTTTTTTTTTTTTTTTTTTTTTTTT